TTCACTAGAACGTAAGTGAGGGGGGACTTGTCCATCTTGGTCACCATTACATTCCCAGTACCTACAACCAAGGCCTAGCCCACAGCTGGCGTTTGGGGACAATTGACTGAACAAACGCAGGCAGCGCGCATATCTTCATTATCGAGACAGGAGACTGAGAGGGTCAGAGATGGGGAGGACTTTGGCCAGGTCCACCCAGTGAGCTGAGGACAGGGCTGGGATACACACACACACAGCCTGGCTGGGCCCACACCCCGGAGGACGGGATGTGGGATGTAAAAAGTTCCGCTGGAAACAGAGTGACGGCGCCATGCGAGGTCCCTGAAGGCAGGCCCCGGGATCCCCGTGCCTCTTACACAACAGGCGCATCAAACAACCTGTTGACTACACGATTGGAGAAATGAAGAAATGGAAGAGAAACTGCCGCCTCTCCCTGGGGAGGGCCTCGGGAGATTTCGGAAGGAGGCAGAGGCGATGCTGGATAAGGGGGAGTTTGGGAGCCCGAGAGTAAGGAGAAGGGAACCCAGTGAGGCTGCTCACCTCTCAGCGTCTTCCCGAAACAGTGCACTTGTTCAGGGAGCAGCTTGCATGACGATACCCTCAGCAGCACCGCTTGTAAGAGTGAAAGATTCAAAAATAACCTCAGTGTTCACCGGTAAGGGAGCGAGTGGCTAAATGAACTGAGGCATTCTTTGGTATGCTATGAATTTTTTAAAAAGAGGTTGATTGTTACTGAATGCATCTTGACTGGACAAAGCAAAGTATAGAAAATGTATGTAGTATGATGGCTTTGTGTTTCCAAATTTGTTCCAGCAAGACGATATATTATAGGAAATATACATTTGTAAATACATATACAGAAATTATACACCTGGGCCTTACAGAGCATAGGTCACCCAGTCCTTCAGTCCTTAGTCTTACAGAGTGCTTTGTCTTCCATCTTCACTCATTCAACAAGTACTTCTTCAGCACCTACTATGTGTGATACCCAGTTCTCAGCAGTGGGGATACAGGGGTAACTAAGGTGGGCCAGGTCAGCCCTCAGAGGACTTACATTCTAGGGGAGATGGACAAGGAACAAGTAAACACACATGTAACGTCTGATAGAAAGTAGGAATATGAAGAAAATAAAACGGGACATGGAACAGTGTGGCTGGGTGTCCTGTGCACTGTCCAAGAATCTGACCCGTTCTCACCATTCCGTTGCCTCTCACTGGGTTATAGTAACGCCTTCCTCTCTGGTCGCTGGGCCCCCATTCTGTCCCCACTCTCTGTCCGTTCTCACATGAAGCCTGAGGGAACTGTCAATGTGTAAATCACCCCTCATCTGCTCCAAACCCTCCTGTGGCTCCTTCTCACTCAGGGCAGAAGCCAAAGGCCTTCCAGTGGCTCAGAGAGCCCCGCATGGTCTGACCCTGGTAATCTCTATGGTCTGACCTCATCTCCCCCATCAGCCCCTTGCTCACTGGGCTGCAGCCACACCAGCCTCCTTATTGCCCCTCAAGTGCTCCAGGAACACTGCTGCCTCAGGGCCTTTGCACTTGCTGCTTGCTCTGCTCATAAGGCTCTTCTTCCATGTCACCACGAAGTGCCCTCTGTCATCTCCTTCAGGTCTTTATTCAAGAGTTACCTTCCCAGTGACGTCTTTCCTAGCCACCCTGATAAAAATTGAAACCCTCGTCCCTGCCTTTCTTATCCTTCCCTGATTGTTTTTTCATAGGATCACCATCCAACGTGTGATAATATTTTTGCTTATTTATTGTTATTGTCAGCCTCTCGCTCTGCTGACACCGTAGGGCAGGCTCCAGGAGGACAGGGGTTATCTTTTGTCTTCCAAGTACTTAAAACAATGTAGCTGAGTAAACATCTGCGGAGTGAATGAATGTGTGAATGAATAAACAAGTACTTTCAAAACGAAAGACCTCTCTGATGAGAACTGAAGGAGGAAAGGATGGTCCTGCAGGTCGGGGGAAGACGGGTCCAGGCAGAGGGCGCAGCAAGCACGCAGGCTCCGAGGGCAGAATCATGCAGGTGAGTTAGAGAAACGAAGCAGGCCAGGGGCTGGGCCCAGAGAGCAAAGGGGCAGGGCATGAGAGGAGTGCGAGAGGCTGGCAGGGACAGACACATAGAGCCTGGTGGCCAGGGCTAAGGAACTGAGATCTTATTCGATACTTTTTGAAACACTAAATCCTCTCCATGTTTACCTCATTCCATTCTCACATCAATTCTGTGTGGTCAGTGGAATAATTATTCCTATTTAACAGATGATGCAAATGAGCCCCAAAGAGGTTAGGTCACCAGCCCCGGGACCCACCCCTGGTAAGTGGTGGAGCAGGACCACAGCGGGAGCTGCTGGGGGGCTTCTTGGGTCCCTGTTCCCTGCACAGGCCCTGTGAGAGTAGGCCCATGGCTCATGCCTCCCTGGGGTCCTCCTTGGAGCTGGGCCCTTGCAGTCACTCAATAACAACTCTAGCAGAAGGCAGGGGCGGGAGGAGGGAGGCCAGGAGGCCAGGCAGGAAGAGCAGCGGGTCTGGCACTTGAGGCCACAGCTAGGGTGGAATGTCCCCTACAGAGCCCCAGAGCTCACGCCCATGTCAAGAGAAAGAAAAGTGTATGTGTAACCCGATCCCTGGGGCCCTGCCTACTTGGAATCTGGGAGCCTCCTCTCTCTGCCCCATTGCTTCCACCCCAAAGCCTTTGCCTTGGCAGCCAACTTGGGAGCGGATGGCTCCAGGTCACAATAGGGAGAGAGGTGTGTTTGTGGGTGCCACAACTGTGGGGGCTGAACATTTTGGGGTCGGGAGACTCTCGAGAGCTTGGCAGAAAGTGATCATTGAGTTCAGAAGTGAGGACTCTGGAGTCAGAGTGCCTGGGTTTGATTCCTGGCTCTGCCACTAGCTGTACGACTTTAAGCTGGTTACTCAACTGCCCCATGCCTCAACGTCCACTTCTGTAAAATGGGCTCACAGCCTCATAGGGGAGTTAACAAGCACATGAGAAACAGTACAGTGTATGGATTAGGAGAATAGACTTTGGAGTGAGTCTACTCAGGTTCAAACTTTAGCTGTCACTTAACTGTGCCATCTCGATGAAGCTTAATCCCTTTACAGTTTCCTCATCTGTAAAATGGGGTTAATAACAGTATCCCTTCTTAGTTGTGGGGATTAAGTGAGGTAATACACTGATGCCTGACACATAGCAAATGCCAAGTGTTTGCTCTAATGGTGATAGAAGAGGAGAATTAATCAAGATTTATTTATTTATTTATTTATTTATTTATATTTATATTTTGGACAGTGCCTGGCACAAAGTATGTGCTCAGGAAAGTGAAAGACGAAAGGCAGGGGCTCATCTAAGGGACAGCTTCCCCCCAGCTCCCACTAGTGGCAGCCGGGTGGGAATGTGGGCCCAGTGTTTCTAAAGCATTCTGCACTTCAAGAGAAACCTGAAATCCAGATTTTTATCTCTGTCCCGATATTTACAAGTTCACTTTTACTTAAAACATGGCGTACACCAAACAAAGGCATACCTGAGAGTCAGACTTCACTGTGAGCTGCCAGTTTACAACCGTGGTTTTGAATTCACGGTGGTTATTTGATTCAGAGGAGAATGACAAGGGAATAAGTTTAACTATCGTACCACGTCCCCGAGGTGTGCCAGGCGCTTTACATAACACCCCCTCATTTAATCCTTGCAATAAGCACCCTGTGAAGGGGGGAGGGATCATCATGATTATGCCCCCATTCGACAGGTGAGAAAACCGAGGCCCAGGAAAGCTCCGCGATTTGCCCAAGGGCATTTGGCTGGTTAGCAGTGGAGCTGGGACTCGGACTTGGGGCTTCCATCTCGGCAGTCTATGCCTTTTCCTATCTCTTCTGGCTCTGGAATGAAGATGGTCTCAGGGATACTAGTGTCTCTGTCAGAAAGAAAAGGATGACTGGTGCTGAGCAGGGCTCAATACAGTTTTTCAGATCCTCAAAGAGCCCAGCGTGGTAGACATGGGCACTCCAAAGTGCCAGGAAGAGTGCGGGTATGCCCCTACCATGCGGTTGGGCACGGGAACCCAGCCCCTCTTGGTGGTACCTCAAGCAGGGTTGTTCCAGCTTCACTACCAGCATGTAAAGGAAACGTCACTGTCCCAGTGACATCAATAACTATTCCCGGGAGCTGGAGTTGCTTAAAAGCAAATTCCTTGTGATGTTATATTCGACTAGATACCTATCCTGTCTCTTTGGTTTTTACGTAGCATGTGGGCCCCATGAGCTGGCATCAAACGCAGGCCGTGAGGGAGAGACAGCTGGCCTTCCCAAAACACCAAGAAACAAATCCCCAAGCTGGTCTAATAAAGGGTTAAGCCCAATGGTTAAACATCATAGCTTAATGCCTTTTGTTAACTCTGGCTCTAACAGGAAGGCTGACAGATCCCAAACAAGCAAACAATAGCAGGAATTGTTCTAGTGAAAACTAGTCTGGCTGCATCATTTGCCAATAATTTTGAAAACAGCTTAACTCCCCTCTGCTTCCTTGACCTCCACCCAACCTGAAAGCAAAAGGCAGACACGTTCTTGTCCCAAACGTCAAACCCCTGTGCACACAGCGCCTGCCTGGACGCTGCGATGGCAGGAGAACGCGGAGGGACGGACCTCACAGCTCAAGACCTAGACACCACAGGACACACCCGAGGCCGGGCCTGGAACACACCCGACACCGACTAGCATCTGTGGAGGTGTCAGCATTTCTGGAACTGGAGACCAAGACGGGAAGTTTAGAACACAAACGAACAGACTTTCCCCTCGAATGACTAGACAAAATTGTCAGCTGCGTGTTCCAAAGTTTTGGTCCAGAGGCAGCAATCTAAACGGTGGGGGGAGAAATTGTCACAGCGACAGTACTTTTCGAAAGGAGGCAGCGCGCCTCAGGTTGTCAGTCCCTCGCTATGTCCCGGGGGGCGCGCGCGGGACCACCGCGGGTCCTGCAGAACTCACGCCCGGGAGGCCTACCTTCTATGTCACTCAGAGTCCAGACATCGGTGTCAGCACGGTTAAGCTTCAGTGTACCCGGACAAGCGCTGTTTACCGTAAAGCTGGGTGAGATCACTAGTTCTAGCATTTCCTTGTACCTGAAAGGAGACAAAGGGAAATGGAATTTATTCATTAATTATGCATGCTTACTAATGATTCCTATGTCTTTCCCTAAGAGTATAAATATTAAAGCTGATTACCTAAACCCAGTCGTCTTATAAATTCTACATAATAAAAATTCACTAAAACTTTTCATCAAAGGGAAATGAGGAATTAAAATGAAGCACTCGCTCCTCTCTGGAGAATACGCCCACTTGATTAAAACTTTCCCCTCCTTCCTCCTGTATTTTGCCATTAGAAAAATCATAGTTTGGTCTCTTTTAAATGTCATCTGGATGAGCTGGAGCGAGCCTGGGAGGCTTCCCAGTAGAGGAAGGGGGACACAGGTAGAGAGGGAGTGTTTGAATTTAGGTCCCCAAAAGCCAGAGGCGCGGGGAGAAGTTGGACTGGAGTTAAGAGTGAAAAACGGACATGGCGTTACATGGCATTACTTACACAGATGGAGAAATGCTGAAAAGGCGTCATTGATATTTAAGCCCCTCTGGGCAGCAAAACTCCACAGCCCATCACTGTGGCCCCTCCCAAGAAAGCAAACACTCGCTGCTGAATTGGGATTTTGATAAAATGTTATGGACGGGGGAAGGGAAATAGGGACAAGTCTCCTGGGTCATTCTCATTTTTTAATAAAAACTTTTCCAACTCTTGTGCTATGTTAGTACTTAGCCCTCCGAAATGCCTACCCACTGTGGTGAGGAAACGAGGTTCCTGGTTATTACGCACATCACACGGGGCCGTTTGCAAAGGACTAAACTACAACCAGTAACGTTTGATGCCGACTCCAGTTGTCCTCAGAGAAAGGCTAAGTGCATTGACTGCACATCAACATCCAAGGTCAGAATCTGTTATCATTGTGTTCATAAAACACAACGTGCCGATTGATGGTGACCTGGTTACAAACGCAGATTCCACCGTGAAAAGGTTGTGGATTCAAACTCCACTGTCACTACACACCTCCATGAACATGTTACCAGACTGCTCTAAGTCAAAAGTGTTCCCATCTGGACAATGGAGATTATCAAAATACCTCCCTGACAAGGTCACGGCGTAGATGAAAAGAGATGATATGCATAAAGAAAGGACTTAGTAGGCAGCTACCTAAATGCCCATTCGTTACCGTAGCAACGAATAAACACAGGCAGTATGCTCACGCAATGGAATACAATACAGCAGTGAAAAAGATGGAGCTGGAGCTGTACACAGCATGATGGACAGATTGCCAAATGAAGTACCGAGCAAAGAGGCAGAAGGGTACCCAAGGTATTATACACCATGTCTGCAAAGTGCAAAATACACAAATCCATATTATATGCTGGTTAAGAATACAGACACATGCCATAAAAAGATAAGGAGTATGTGTAGGAATGAGACACATTGATTTCAGGAGAATGGCTAACTCTGGGAATAGTAAGGGGATGCAGTTTGGGAAGCGGTACCCTGGGGGCTACAACTGTGTGACATTTTAGTTCAGGGGCTGACAGCATCTATGGTGCACCCAAATCCAGCCCGTTCTTGTGTGACCCGTGAGCTCAGAATGGCTTTCACATTTCTAAATGGCTGGGGAAAAAAAATCAATATAAGGTTATGATTTCATGACATATGAAAATTATGTAGAATTCCAATTTCAGTGCCCATAAGTTAACGTGTTCTTGGAACACAGTCCTCATTACTGTACTGTCCATGGCTACTTTCACAGTGCGACTTCTGAGTCAGGGTGCTAGAGACCCACAAAGCTGAAAATATTTACTATCTGACAGGAAAAGTTTGCCAACCCCGGTTTTAGTTTGGAAGCAGGGTGGTGGGCATATAACTGGGGTATGGTTACTATCCATCCTGTGTACCTGAAACACTTAACCATTTTTTAAAAAGAATGAAATCACTTATCCCAGGATTGACACATGGTAAGTACTTTATATATACTTTTTAATCTGATGAGAGAATTCTACATAAACCGGCTTCTACTGTGTATATCTTTAAATTAGCTGGTACATGTTTGGTTCCTAAATGTTCCCAGGGGTACATGCCTGCTCTGTGCCTGTTTTCTTGTCCCCAGGTACTCCAGGAGAGAGGCCTTGGTGTCTCCTTCTTTTAACACATCAACACATATTGCACGGAGCTCAGCAAATAGACATTGAACCTGTTGTCTGACGGTAGGTGCCAGAGGTTTGCATTTTATCCTTTGGGTATATGCAAGTAATTCAAGGTTAAAAAATAAACAATGATGTAAAAAAACAGCACTGATCTCTAACTATCCAGATGCCATGAATATGGGTATGAGAGGCAGCAAATTGTTAGCTAAATGACCAAATCCAGTAAAAAAAAACAAAATGAATTGTCTTCCTCCCTCCTTGGGGTTTAAAAATACTTGAAGTCATTGCCAATATTTTTAAATGAAGCAATTTCACATAAAAAAAACACCTAGCTGTTTCAGCTTCTCTTGAAAATGGAAGACTATTGTTACATGTCTGCATGACAATAATTAGTGGGAGCTGAGTAGTGGCAGACCAACCAAGTCAGTCAAAGCATGTGGGGTCCAGTTTGCCACACTCCCCACCCCTCCCTAGTGTCTTACATTTGGTCCTCTTTTTCCATCTATATTTCCCCCTGGCCCTATAGACCTTTGCATTTGAGATTCATGGCATACGTATCATCAGAGAAGCCTGATGAGGAAAGAAACAGCCATGTGACACTTCTGGCCTGAGTCACATAGCTTATTTATTTTCCTGAGTGTTGCTGTCATCCTCAAGAGCTCTTAGCACATCCAAACAGCCTTTGTTGACATTACAGCCGAGCAGGAATGTGTTTGTGAGTTTTAACTCTGGGACAGAGGATTGCTGCGACCGCTTTTGGTGTTTTCACATCTTGCCTAAGGTCCTGGAAGGCCAAGCCACGTGGAAATCATCTACACTTCCCCCATGGCACCTGCCACAGGAGGCTGTCCATTCTGTCATCTGATTCACATCTGTTGGAGGATGGGAGGAAGGCCAAAGAGAGGGACTGGGGAGGCGGCAGGGAGAACGGGAAGAAATCTATAACTGAGTGATCAGCTTCTTTCAACAAGATATTTTAAAATTCCTCATTATCCACCCCATTTTAGACAATGACTCTAATGTATTAAATATGTCTCCTTATAAATGAGGCCGTGTTGTTTTATGTGTGGCGTGTTTTCATTTACATGAATAGTGTTTTAAGTGAGATCTTGTTGTGTTCATTACACGTTTTTTCATGTTGCACTGAGTTTTCAAATGTATGCATATGGCTGGGTGGTTATCTAGCTTGCGGCTACAATGCCATGCTGCACACCCACTCTAGTATTTACGCATTGCTTTAATGAAGAGCATCTAAGAAGCCTTCATCTCTCTGCCACCAGAAACGATGCTGCAGTGAACACCCTCATTTAAATATAACATATATTTATGTATATCTACATATGTGTATATAGAGACACATATATTCTTAAAATGAATATATAGACTTGAGAATTTCTGTGGCGTTGGGTGTATGTAAACTGAACTTGACCAAGCACTAGCAGGCTGTCCTTCATAATTCCAGTGCTAATATAGATTTCCACCAGAACTGCATAAGCGTTCTAGTTTATAAATTCTTGCTAACACTTGGCATTGTCCAGCTTTCTAATTTTTGTCCAACCAATGGGTGGAAAATGGTATCTCATATTTGTTTTAATTTGTACTTCTCTGATTACTAGTGAGTTTGAGCATATAGTCACATAATTATGGGGCATATAAGTTTCTGGGAACTGTCTATTCATATTTTTTATCCTTGACCACTTTTCTACTGGATTTTCTTTTCTTGTTGATTTGCTGGAGTGCCTTATAGAGCTTAGGTGTTGGCTCACTGCTGGCTTTAGATGATTTAAATTTCTTTTCTTAATTTTTCATTTGTCTATCTTTTTTTTTTAACTTTATGGTGTCTTATGGCATAAAAAAATTCTTATATATTTGCCCAATAATTCTTCTTTTTCTAAATGTAAAAATTTCCCCCCTAACCCTGGGATATTAAGGTTTGTCTACATTTTAAGCTATTGATTTGGAATTTTACCTTTCATATTTAAGTCTTCAATTCATCTGAGGTTTCCCACTTAATATGGCTTAAAGTTGGACTTTTCTCCAATACTGGAGGAAATGAAAACAAGCCATTTTCCCTAATATGTATTAAACTCTCTAACTGAATTTACCTCCCAGCTATGATGGGATAGTTTATATATTTCTGGTTTGACCTCACTATCACAATAAAAACTAAAAGCTACAAAACATTGTTTTAAGGCATCAGAGAACAACCAAGGCAGGGCTTGAGGGCCCAAGATCCCAGAGAGATGAGAAATGGACAGAGTTAACTCTGATCTCTACCACTTTTCCTTGCAAGACATTTGCCAATTTATAAGCACAGAGGGAAAAAGTAACAGATTAGTGTTTTCCAGTCTCATAAGGCTGTGGAGACAAAAATGGGAGTTCAGGGCGACTCAGGCAGCTAGGACCCAAGCAAAGATCCTAGAGATGTGACAGCCACAGAGAAGTGAGCCTAATATCGTTGACAGTCACTACTTTTGAGGCATTTGCTGATACCTAAACTGGGTGGAGTGAGAGGGACAGAAGTCAAGCAGAAAAGGGTAGCTAAGAAGGCAAGAAATGAAAGAGAGCTTTTGGTAATCTCCCAGTACTAGGGAGAAAAATACTGGAGTTCATGGCCCATTAGGAAGAGAGGCCTTGGTAAACACACCAGGCTTTTAACTGAGATCCCTGAAGGGTAACTCCCTTGGAATAAGGGCAAACCAAATAGACCGTGCCTTGAGTCATCTTAATCCTTTATTGGAGCAAAGTGATTTGCCTCTGTTATTATCACCTGTCAGGAGAAAAGTAACTTTTCTTTTTGGGGAAGATGTCATCTTCCAGAGTCTCCATAATTTTTTATACACAATATTTAGCATTTAATAAAAAATTACCATGCATGCAAGGAGACAAGA